CCTTGCACACTCACCATGCTGAAGCCTTGGGCTCTCATTCTGACTATCCTGGGCCCACCAGGGTTTGCACACTCGTGGTGTGGCTCGCACACTCGCTGTGCCAGGGTGAGCAGCAGGCTGGGACATGGGCACGGTGCCGTGCCAGGCCCAGTGCCACTCTGCTGCCTGTGGAGGAACAAAGCGCCTCAGTTCCCAAAGCGCCGGCACTGTGAGCACCCAGCATCTCCCCATCCTCTGCTGCTCTCCAAGCAGAGGGGTGAGAGCCTGCCCTACCACTGCCACATGAGCCTGGGAGAGTTGGGATTGATGCCAGGACCTGACAGGTCTGGAGGGCTGCAATCCTATCTCTGCTCAGTGCAGACCCTCGAGTTGAGTCCTTCCATGCATTTGCTATGGAGAACCCTAAGTCGTTCTAGGTGAGGTGGTGAGCTCCCTGAGGGGCTCTTTTTTTGCTGGTAGTTAAAGCTGGAGATTTTCTCAGCAGGAATTTCTTCACTGAAAGGGTGRTTAGACATTACAAGGGGAGRTGATGGAGTTCCYGTCCCTGAAAGTGTMCAAGGAATRACTGGAYGTGGCACTCGGTGCTCTGATCTGGTTGACAAGGTGGGGATCAGYCACAGGTTGGACCTGATGATCTTGGAGGTCTTTYCCAACCTCAGTGATCCTGGGMAGACGGTTCAAGCTCATCSGTGTGYCTGTGGGAGGGAGCAGGGCCCTTCTGGSGCCCTTCAGCCCCTCGCTGTAATCTGGGCTAATAACAGCAGATGGCTCCCGAAGCCCCTCTGAAACCCGCGCGGACCCCCGGCACTGCGGGCTCTGACCTGGCCCCAGCAAGGGGTGCAGAGCTGGGATGAAATGACAGCTCCAGCTGCTGTGTCCACCAGGAAAAACGCAGGCCAGAGGCTCCTGGTGACTCCGCTTGTGTGACAGCATCGCTGCAGGTGGTGCTGCATGATGCAATCCCTGCCTCAGAGCAGGGATGAACTCTTGCCCTGACAAACTCAAGGACAAATCCTGTGCTGGTGCCCACAACCCTCTTTGCTCTCCTGTGAGTGCCATCCTGTGGGAAAGATGGAATACTCCAGGACAGGTGATGGACAGCTGCCAGAGCAGCCTCTGCCTGTTGAGCAGGAGCAGTTTGGGCTCAAAGTCTGCAGTCGCAGGGTGTTTGRAATGGAGCCTGTTTCACCTACAGAGATGTTCCCTGTCCCTCTACAGAGCTGGCAGGGCTCTGATGGCTGCACTACTCCAGGAATTAAGTCCCTCCTGGCTGCTGGCATCCCTGAGAATTGTCAATGAAAGGGGCAGTTACTGCCAGGAACTGCCCTTCCGTGACACCAGGYCCAAGGAAATCTTGGCTTTAAGTGATGTGAGCCCAGGAGCCTGATAATTCCCATAAAGTCCTGTAAGTGAACACATCCTGTGCCTCCCTGATGAGTCAGCTCCGCTTCTTAGAGACACAGGCTTTAAATGATCTGAAAGCCTCTTGCAGCTGGTAATTTAGAAATGGAATCATGATTAATTAAAAATATAGCTGTCCTTAGGGGTATTGGGTCTTGTATCTTCTGGTTTAGGTGTTGGGCTCTGCGTGCCTTCCATACATCTGAATAATGCTTTTTCAGATGGGGTAGGGGTAAGAGGGACCTGTGAAAGATGGTTTAAGTGCCTTGGCCTCGATTTTTTGGGTCTCTCCACTTGCTAAAGAGGTCAGGGTGAAAGTGGTGAGTTTGTTTATCCCGAGCTCAGCACTGAGGACCTGGCTGGCTCTTTGTGCTGAGTCACGGCCTGCTGGCCGCCTGTGCCATCCAAACACTGGGAATGTTTCTGTCCCCAGTTCACATCTCCACAGTCCCGCTGGCCTTGGCAGGGCAATGAGGGTGCACCATGSCCCGATTACTGTGACAATGAACTGTTAAATTGCTTCAGTTGGAGAGAACCACATCCAGGTTTGCGGGGAAGAAGCCAGCTGAGCTCTAATCCCTGCCGAGCCGCGGAGTCCGGCGGTGAGGACGGTTTGCGTGAGCCCTGCTCGGGTCTGTCCTGCCGTGACACCGCACGGCACGGCTGGGAAAGCGCTTGTGTAACTCCCCGCTCCCAGCTCCGTGGAGCTTATGAAACGCAGCTGGTGTCCTGGGCCAGAGCCACAGCCTGGGAACCACGCTCTGGAGCTGTGTCTGCCTGGGGCTCTTCACTGAGCGAGGGTCAGCCCGTGGGCTGTCAGCACCTGGAGTGGCTCTGGAAAGAACAATCCTGTCTTGTGGCTTTCAAAATCGCATTTGAAAGCAGTTAGCCCATTTCCTTTAAATAGGTGAACTTTAACGGCCAGGTTGCAAAAGGATCTGGGTAGTGCTTTAATGGAATTAAGCCAGTGCAGAATTTGAGTATTTATTTCAGCTGGGATCATTATGGTTTTGCAAAAGCCAGGCTTAAGCTGAATTAAGTGACTCAAATGAAGCAGCTTGTGGCCAGAGGAGGCCCTGGGGACATCAGACTTGTATAACCCAGGATATAACCCAATATAACCCAGAATTTCTAATGCTGATGCAGCCCTCCAGGTTGATTCCCACTGCAGGTAAGACCTGGGAAGTGGTGTCCTACCTGCCAGGGAAAACCTTGGTAGTTAGGAAACAGGTGACAAACCTCATCTATGAAGAAAATAAGCCTGGCCTTAAGGATGAAGAAACAGGAATGGAAGATAAAGACCCCATGGTTTCCTCCCTAAATGATTCCTTTAAAATTTTCTGTTAAAAAATAATGTACAACTAGCAGCAGGCCAGGAGAGGGAAGGAAAGAGGAACCTGGCCTGAGAATGGTWAGAAAAATTCCCAGATCCCTTTTCMAATAAACAAAAGCCCCTATGAACACAAAGAAGAGCTCAGTGCAGTGATTAAACTCTACATCAACTGTCAGCCTGCTGCACATACAGGTGAGAAATCTGTCCTTAGATAGTTTCTCTGCAGTTTCTCTCAGCTGGGGCAGGATCTGCTGATCACCATGAGCTCATCCCACCCAGGGCTGCACTTTGGGACTTGGGCTGCTCCAGCAGTTCCAGAAACATCTCCTTGTTGCTGCAGCAATTGGTGCATTTAATTCTTGACTAACCTTTGCCAACGGATCTTTTAAATGGCCTGGATGTGGCTGTGCCTGAACATTAGCTGGTGCTGGCTAACAGTGCTTCACTGCCCAGCTCAGGATTTCTTGGATCCAGACAGGAATTTTTGCTGTCTCAGGCAGGTGAAAGTCGATTTTAGGATGACTTTAGAAAGCCAGGCGTTGTTATGCTGAGCACATAAATGAGGCCCAGGAGTCTCTTTTGGTTTTKCTGTCTTTAGATGAAGAAAGGATGCTGTTGGAGGGTGCTCAGCTGATTCCCAGTCAGCCTGGTGTTCCTGGTACATCCCACATCGCCTGTGGGAAGAGCTGCTGTCCCAGATTGGACTTGAGCTGCTTGCATTGTAATTCATCTTGTTTTCTGTCTCACAAGGATGGATCCCCTTGTAGCACTGTAGTGTTTATTTTACAATTCCCAAAGCTGTGATAGATTTTTRAGAGGAGATGTGTCTAATCTAGAAAAATTCTCCAGCTAAATTATAGTGGATATTTTTAGGTGGTTTAAAAATGGGCAGAAAAGAATAATTCCTCTGGTTTTAGATGGTTGACCTATTACTGTTGACCTAAAAACAAACAAACAAACAAACCAAACTATCTCACAGTGTTTCATGTTCATAAATCCAATTATTTTTTCTTGTACAACTCCGATCTGTAATTCTGCAGTTATTGGTACTGTAGTAGAAAAGGCCTTTAATACTCCTTAGGCGTTTATTCCAAACCAAGATGGACCATTCCCATCTTGGTCTGCTTTAAAAAACAGACTGGTGCTGCAGGAGTGTGCTCCTGGAAAGACCTGGTGAGGRAACTTCCCTTTCCCCATCTAAATTAGACTTAAAATAAAGAGGTATTCAGCAACTACAGGTAAAAAAGGCTTTAAGAAGAACGTGGTGCTGCAGGTTCCTCATCTGTTTCTCTCACAAAAAGCCTGTTCTTGCACTGGATGTTGGCCCTTGATTTGCAACCCCATGTTTCTCAGCAAAAACTGGAAATTGTATCCTGCCCTCCAGCAGTTTCTCCATTAATCCAATTACTAGGGATAGTAA